TCTTTTGTCAGCGGGAGATCTAAGGTTTTGCCACGTTCGTCTTATCTTCCTCTTTTCGGCAATCTGTTTCATAATAAAGTCAGGGTTTTCGGCTTGGGAAGGATGCACTATTGTAGGTGTTGCGGATTTGGCTGCTTCAACTATACGATGTGTTAAATATTCTCTTGCTTCTTCTACGTCATACTCTGTTTTTAATGGGAGGCTGGCTGTAGTTGAAGCGTTGGCAAGTTCGCGAGAGAGTGTCCAGTTTGTGTATTTATTCTGGATGGTTTGCTGTGACCGAGTGTCAACTATGGATGCATTTAAGGTCGCAATGACTGGTGAGTAATCAGACGAGAGGTCTGTACAGGAGTGAATTTGAATATAGCGTGGTGGAAGACTATTGGTGATGAAAAAGTTAAGTAGGTCTGGTATTTTATTTAGGTCAATCGGCCAGTACGTGGGTTTACCAGTGCTTATGTGTCTTAGTTTATTTGTTCGTAAACTTTGTAGGAGTACTCTGCCTCTTGGATTTGTTATTAGGCAAACAATTGCCTAAAATCCCATTTTGAAACAAGTTCTATATTTACAATTAAAAAAAAATTTGTAATTTGAATACAATACTTTATTTAAAACCCTTTATTCGCTAATATATTCGAAATGTAAAGTTTTTGTAAGACATTATAGGATTTTATTACTTGGGCATAAAGTCCATTTAACAAAAAATACTTGGTATTGTAAAGGTTAAGTGATGTAAAGTAATCTTCTTTTTGTTTGTAACAAGTTTTCTTACTGTTATATATCATATATTTATATTAAATTATCTCTCTCGAAATATAAATCTGAATTATACGGATAAGCTACCGAAATGAAAACAACACAACAAAGAAATTAAAGTGCAAGTAAAATTGTGAATTAATAGCGTAAAGAGATTCTTATGTTAAATTTGAGTGTAAATATCTTCGATCATTCACGAGCTCTTCTGATTGTTAAAGCTAACCGATAATATTCCATTACAGATTAAAAATATACTGCACATATATGTATATGCATCGGAGGTCAATTAGTGTAATATTAGAATAACATACATATGTACACGAATATTATTGAAGGGTGAATTGAATTGAATATATTGACGAATAACACGCAGTTTATTGACCACATGGATTTATAAGTTCTTTGTTCTTGTAAATAATTAAAACTTCTTATTCACGTGAAATAAAAACCTTAACGGAAAATAATAAAATAAAAAATTCCGAATGTATTGTCGAAAAATTGATCATTACGAGTCACCTGAATATTAAAATACCGTTACGGTCAATTCCTCCTTTTATGATAAACGCGGCCAATTAACAGAAAGAGCACTTTCTTCGAAAGGATGACCTGGTTCTGCCTTTCTACCATCCTCTCACGTTTATCCAACGTCTTTCACCTTTAATCCTTTTCATTTCTGGCTGCTTCCCTTCTCATTCGTAGATCTCCCCCTCCCCCCTCTTGTCACTGTATCTCTATCTCTCCCCCAGCTTCCACGTGAATTTCTATGAGACATACGCAGGTGCAGCCCAGTAAGGTTGGCCCCTTTGAAATCCTTTTGAAGCGTAGGCAAAATTATACCGACCACGGCTTTTATCTTAGTACTACAGCACGGCCGGCAACTAGGAAAATAGCTGGACGCTGGGACATTAATATTTTGAAATCATCCGAGGGGTAAGGTCGTGTCTTTATGCGCACCCACTTTTTTTTCAAGGTTCGCATCGTAGCTGTTTACGTAGGAACATGGCTCGACGTGACACGACTAAATCCGTAAATATTATTTTTAACAACTTCTGCCTTAAACGTCGAGAGTCAGTCGGAAATCGTATTATAACTGGAAATGGGGTGATTCTACGTGAAAAAGTAAGAAAAAAATATGGTATAAAATTTCTTCCTACAAGGTTTCGTTTTCGAGGAAATCGAGTTTGAAGATTGATGAGATACATGTACGTAGATATTTATGGAGTAATATACAGTGACTGGCTTTAAGCAGGAACTTGTTTACTCTATTAAGACTTCTCTTGGGTTTAAAATAAAACAAAAAGTATCACTAAACTTTGTTAGTCCTTTTACTTTTACTGTACTAAGTTTTAGATAACCGTTTAGGTTGAACAATATATTCGCTATTATAAATTGCTATCAAACAGCTAGACAGTTATTCTCCACAAATATTCTTCAAAAATAATTTGTTTAAAGCCAGTAATGGAAGAAAAACGAGTATGACCAGTGTCTGGGAAAGAAATCGGTTTACAGCACGGCAATGATAAACGACACACTTCTAATAAGGAATTCAACTTTGGGTCACCCATTTTAATGAAACTTTTCGGACATGTAGTAGACTTCTTCCTCTTTACAAATCACTCTCCTCCACCCCGCCCCCCTCCGCCCCATGGGGGCAGATACTCAAGTTTTTGAGTTATTTGCGTTTGAAGTTTTCCCGGTGACTTAAACATAAGTTACGTTGCTCGATTATTCGCAGGTGTTGTAGAGTTGGAACAAGGTCTATGGTTTCCACTGTGACGGCCAGAGTTCAAATATGTCTAAAATATGTCCAAAAATCTTTGGAAGGGACGTATTTGACGTATACTTACCCTACACTTTGATTGTCACGGTGGGAACCATGGACGTTATTTTCTGACTTCGATTTATTTTGAACCTTATAAAATTTTTATAACTGGAAATGAATTAAAAATACAGAGAAAATAAGAATATGTACATGTGGTCGAATTTAAAAAAGAAAGACACAAAAATATTACAAGAGTAGGATAGAAAAATTATTGACATATAGGAGAAAGTGATAGACAAAAGAGTGTATTATTGATTACATATGTATATTTCATAGAAAATTTATATGTGAAACTAATTTTTTTTTAAAAGTGTGAAGAAACTATTTTACACGCAAGTATATATCGAGTTAAAATAATGAAATTTTGATTAAAAAGGGTTTCAAAAAGATGATGAAAACGGTTAAAGTGTATATAGTTTATAAAAGCAGAAACAACAAATAAAAAGGTTGTATTTCGCAATCGATATATGAAATCGAACATTGATTTAAAAAATGATAAGCAAAATTATTTGTTTGAACTTTTGAGCATTGATTTTGTGATGTTTCATCATAACCGTATTCAGACGATGTATATTTGATGCTTAAGTGATTGCATTTGACAACATTTTACATCGGGCAATCACTTGTATTTTATATTCGGAGCTTCGCGACATTTTCAAAAAATGTTGTTCGTAACTGTTTGTAATATGATATTTTAACATTTTTTGGGTAAAGGCTGTTTTCCTCACGTGTTCCTCAATGGTAAAATCGAATACTTTTCACGAACAAAATATAAACCGCCTTTTTGGTTAAGTGGTGCAAGTCCACTTTTATTTATATTGAGTTATTTAATGTTTCGTATTTTAACCTATTTAAAAATATCGTTAAACGCAGATAACAATAAGCGTGTTTCATACTTTTAAGATTCCTGACATGTTTAATTTTATTATGTGGCCATGTTCATAAATATTCTGTAAGTAAAACAGTATTTCCATTAACCGTAAATGGACTAATATTACTTTAAAAAATTAATACATTGTCAAAAATGTGACAAATACGTAATTTAGATTTATACTTCAATTAAAGTAATAATAATGATTCTAGTAAAAACAATACAGGTATATAATCGAATGTAAACATTTGATATACATTTCTGCGAACTTTAATATAAGTTTAATAAAAAGATAATATGAAAAAAATGAAAATACAGTCGTAAAGATAAGTAAGTTGAGTCATTGCTGCAAATGGATTTATAGCAATTTCGAAAGAAGACGGCTCGTATTTTTGAGAAGCCAGGCAACAATCATCTCATACAATTACGATGTCTCTTATTCGATTCTCTAGAATCGTAATACATACAGAAATTGTGAGTTAATTCAAGTGAATTAAATTTAAAATCCTGTAGACTCCAGACTTCATTATATTATGGGTACAAATATTGATATTACTGTAGGTTTACATCATATGAAGCTGGGAAGGAGGTCACAGCGGAAATTAAAGTTTGATAAATATTGGATTGAGGGACAGTATTATTCTGTTAGTGTGTGATTTACAATGAAAATATTTGGGAGTAAATAAAAGTAAATCGTAAAATATTTTTTCGTAATTTCTTTCATTTCTTTTTTTATAAATATGTCTTCATAAATTAGATTTCTTCTTACAATATGCCGCACAGTTCCATACACTTTATTAATAATTCACATTACACGTATTTATCATTACGAGTAATTTGTACACTGATTTAAACTAAAGTACAAGCACACATACATTAATTTTCTTACAGTGAAATCATGCGAATTTAAACATAAATAGGTTCATGCTCACTCGTGCACATTAAACTTACATTTAAACTATGTTTTTCAGACTAGAAAATCTTGGTAACAATCTAGACAACCATACACCATTTAATTTATTACTGTTACTAGGTATACCAATAAATAATACCCCATGTATTGTTAAGTTTAATATCTTTGTCTTAGGAAATCGAAAGTTTATTCTGTTCTAATAATATCTATTTGCATTCTTCAGTAACTTTCACCATTTAAAAAAAGAAAAAAGAAAAGAGCTTGAAAATGTTTTGGATCTAATCCTCGTGCACTGTTCGGGTCAACTTGACCGGAAGTCAATGTTTGATTATTAATTATATTTTCTCTTATAAGCATTTATACGTTAATTTAAAACCAAATAGCTCATATATATTATAATTCAGCGACAAGGAAAGATTTCGTTAATTCGACTTTAAATTCAGGCTGTATTTAATTCGAGGAATATTAATGCAATTGTTTGATGAACAACGCCCGATGGTTATATCACGTTCCCAATTCATGAAGGAAAAGAGTGAATTACTTATTGGTACACCTAATAAAGTAACAAATAATTCTTATGTACATTATGTGAATGATCACAGTTTTCCGTAAATCGTCTCACAAGAAGAACATTTTACCTGCAGAAGATGCAAATCCATGCCGGTGTGCGGTGCAGCAGCAGGGAATAATGCAACTCCATGATCGGTCGTGATTGGCTGCACCGGTTTGTAGGTATCGAGATCGAGGTGATAGTCGTTCTCGTCGCATTCTTCGGCCATGTAGGTTTGTTCGATTGCGGTCGTATGAATGCTCAGGGTGCGATGAAGCGAACCAGTGGTTGCATCCCTTCCTCGAGCATGTCGGTGCTTAACAGAAATACAAGGATTTTATTAATATTTTTAAAACATATCAGGTATAACAGTACATAAATTTCACAATGTCTTAGGTGATATTTCAAAAAGTCTTTTCAACAATTTTTAATGACAATAGAACCACCACCGTTGAATAAACCTGTGCTAAATTAAATTATGTAATAGAGTAATATAATTCAATTTAGTACAATGTGTATTAAATGTATACGAAATTAAAGGTCGATATAAATCCTGGCGAAAACATCTTTCTTATTTTGGTAATTGTGGAAGGAGAACTCAGAAATCTGCGTTTTTGACAGATTTGATGGTTCCGGTATTACTGAATTTTTCGTATTTCATTATACTTTCTTATCTCTCTGTTATTTATGGCTGTATCAACCACTAAACTGACTTATCAGCGACATCATTGTTAACATAACGATATGTATTCACAGATGATTGACAGTATATGTTGATATGTTTTAAATAATTGACTGGTCCCTGAATTGTTTTCATTCAATTTGTCTTCGATGCTTGGCTTAATGTTGAATTGTTGTCTATGGATAAAATACTTTCTGCACTGCAGGATGATGTAGTCTGTTATTAGTTTTGGTATTGCATAGGACACAGGATAGGGGACCTTTATCGGTGAAGAGGTATGATGAGTGATTTTTATTGTCCTATCCTTATTTTTGAGATAATTACTTGGTTGATAATTAGTAAAGGAAGGGTATTTTCAACGTAGTAAGTAAAACAGATTTTTGACGACCTTCTTGTGGTGACAGAGCATCGATTCGAAAAACTCCACAAATGTATGGATCGAACTATATTAAACCTATCGAAACTAATTTTTTAATTAGAAATTTAATTCATTTTTATATGTATGATAATATTTCTGTAATATATACAATATTAGGAGTTGATAAACATGAATGTTTCAAATTACTAGATTATTTGAAACCGTTCATTTCGTTATTAATGCAACATATTCATCGGAATATTTAGTTAAATCATACCAATTGGAATAATTTCAAAATTATTCACAATTTCGAAAACTTGTTGGCCCAAGTAAATAAAAGTTATTGGAATGACCTGCATAAAGTCTCGGATACTATAAATCTATTTTAATGTGGTAATATTTATTACATGAAACTCATTAGTATGGTTAGTCTCTAGAATACTCCCTATTCGAGATATTTCTACCTTAAAAGGCAGTTCGCTAAATTCAACCAGATTGAGGTTCGACTCGTATGAACGAGGAAAGTATTGAATTTGTTGAAGAAGAGCCTAATGAATCTAATTTCAGGGAACAGTGCTCTTCATTCATGTCTCCAATTTGTGAACATGTCTTTTATTAAATTGACCATCACATTTCACAGGTATTATAAAATTTCATGTAAATATGATATAAGAAATTCTAGTACTACAAAGTGTTTGGTAGATAAAAAAATATTATTACAAAAACAGTTCAATTGTGAAAATATATTCGTAATGTAATCTTCAGTGCAATGTAATATACAGGGTGTTAATAAAAATGTGGGACGTTTTTAATAATTAATAACTCGGAAAAGAAGCCACGAACGCTATTTCGTCTTGGTTTTGCATGTAGTATCCACCTTGTGAACGTGTGTCACACTTTTGTTAACACCCTGTACATTACTATAATTTTCTTTAAATAATTATAATCAATATAAAATCACTTAAAAGTCATTTGGATCGTAGTATTTATCTGCATCGGTACAATGGTATTTAAATATTTAAATTGATCAAATGGTACCATCGATATGTTGCAAATTTTGAATTTATCCAAGCAATACAGACAGAATTTGAAAACGTAGAATGGGTGGCGATTTTAAAAAATAGGTCGCCAAAGTGTCAAATAAACTTTATCAATATAAGGTTTCGTACCAAACGAAGTCAGTTTTACAAATTCATCCGGTACATATGCAGTTTTGCTTACGTAAACTAGAATACATAAATTCTAAATTTTACCTTTTTTATATTTAGTTTTATACTAAGTTTGTTCTATAAATTGATGCTACCTATTTGTCGTCTAAAGAATTGTAATACGGTAGATAATATTGAATGTGTATTTTTTCTCGAATTCTGTAACTGTACCATGAATGTGGAATATAAATACAATGTACTATTTAACCAAGGTTTTTGCAACTGTCAATGAAGATCCTATTTACTTACCCATAATGTTTATTTTAAAAGAATTTTCATATTCGCCTAAGAAAAAAAACATTTTTCAATATTCAATTTCCTATGTTTCTTACCACTTGCATATACACTAATAAAAAATATTAAAAATACTGCAGTTTCATTTAAAAAATAAAAGGTAACATTTGTATCCCTGAAACAAACGCAAATAATGAAACTCTGATTTACGAAAATTGTACAATATAAATAGATAAATATTCGAGTAATTGTGGCAGTTCGAATATTTATGAATATATTCGAGTAATTCGAAAATTTTCGAGTTGAAAATTCATTTTCAAGTAAATCAGTCTTATGAGCGCTCGAATATTCGAGCCGTTTGAGTTTTTCAAGTAGCTCGCGTTTTTTTCAAACAATTCGTTGATTTCAAGTAGCTCGGGAAATTCAAACGCTCGACCCGACTCGAGCAATCGAACCGAGTTCAGCTTAGCTTGTAAATTACGACTACTCGCATACCCCTAAATAGTTAATCGGACTATGAGAAAATGTAGGTATGAAGCAAAAATGATTGATTTTGTCATTGCAAGTGTATAGATTCACTGATTCTGAGTGAACTTGAAGTTTACAAGAGGAACAACTAAGCAAAAGTAGTTGAAAATGAAGATGCCAGTAAAAGTGATTCAATTGCCAGCCATTCAATTATTAAATGCATACAAAAGTACTGCTTGTTGCTCTGTCAAAAGTCTCACTCAATTTTGAAAAATTTCATTAATTCTCAATAATTCTTGTTTGGCACTTCTTTAAGCAACGGTTGAATACCCCATTGATAAAATAACATAAAGCCTACATACCCATTAAATTATATTGATAATTACTTCGATTCAACCGACTTGATCAGTAATGAATTCTAAGGAAAAAATTGGCCACACTATTGAAAAGCTTTAGCCCTTATCAAAGTGACATAATGGACGTTTCCAGTGTGGTAATGGTAAGAAATCCACCTATTTTTCGTGTTTCAACTTTCGCAGTCTCGTGTAGAGACTTCTCGAATCCACTCAATACATTTATACAAATAGATAAACTCTCCATTCAGAGTTATGCATCAGAGAATAAATAACACGTTGGGCAGAGATGTTCTATGTATGTGATATACTGGGATCTTTGCAGGTCGCGCCTTCCATCGTTCAAACGTAATAGTGGAGTGGAGTGACAACGGAACGAGGAGACTGGAGATAGAGCCACGGGCTATTCCAATGATGTGGTAGGAATAGCCCTTTACCAACCTCGACAGCTCAACTATTTCTCTGTCTAGACCATGGTACTTACCAGTAAAGCATCCAACACACGACTTACATGCAAGACATTCCGCGATGAGTAGGTAAGAAGAGGTTTGTTTGTGAGTTTTCCTGTGCATACAATAGTACATCAGCGATGTGTCTCAAGAAATTTCTGGCAAGTGCAGTATAGGCCAACGAGTCTTGGGGCAATTCAGAATCTTTTTGTTTATCCACTACTCGATTATTTAAAAACATTCTTTTTCTGCTTTAATTCATATGGGATATTTTATTATATATTATAATATACCATTATATACACTATATTTTAAGGTATTAGGGTAAACCATAAAGACTTTCCTAATTTAATTGCAAAATAGACAGACGAATAGATTATTTAAATTTAATTTCCGCGAGCAATTACGATAGTGAACAGTGAACAGACGAGAAAGTAAGAATATCGTTGAATGGAATACATATACATGAGAAATGGTGACTGTTGTTTACGTAGAAAAATACATTCGTAAAAGAAGATGATGTAAACTGGACAATAACTTATTGACTCACTTTAATTTATTTACACAAATTGTTCTATGTCTTCATCGCACACATTATTTTAATCGTTCATTTATGTCCCACAAATGCTTTTTAACACTCTTTTAGTATGTATACAGGGTGAAAAATTTGTGGTACTAGTGAGAACGGGATGGTTTCCCATGGTAAAATAAATCGTAAGTGTTGAATACAATTTTTTCATCTAAGGCATCGTCCAAAAATACATAAATGGACGGATATAGGATATCGTGAAATATTGGGACGCTATGCAATAGCATCTGGAAGAAGATTAATTAATGACACTTCTATTTTACAAGATGATAATTATCTAAAACATACAGCAAAGCTAGTAAAAGATTATTTATATCATATAGAACACGAAAAAATATTGTTTTTCGTGACATGGCTAGTACAATGTACCGACTACGAGATTATCGAACATTTTTCGGATTACATACCTGGAACAGACAAGGGAAGGAAAGGAAATGAAAAATGAACGAGCTTTTCGAAAGTTCGAAAAAGTGGATGGCAAAATATACCACAGGAATCTATACAAAAATTATTCGATGGTGTACTTAAACAATTACAGCTGTTGCGAGAAAAAACAGAGGTCATAGAAAAAATTGATTATTTTAATTAATGAATATTGTTTTCAAGATGGCTACGCAATTTTAGATTAAATATTTCATAAGAAGTAATGAAGATACTGTGTATCCTTTAATTTATGAAAAAAGTAACATTAATATAATATAAATATATGCTTTTTTGGTAACTGGTCTTTGTAAGATTTTTGCCCGCCTTGATTCACGCATCAGTTCATTACATTCCGTTTGTACTCATTGTCAGCACGAATATAGGCATACTCGATGAAATTTCCTAGACGTTTTTTTTTTTAAAACGAAGCTTTATACGATAAGAAATTATTCTACAATTTTAGTTAATTTTTCATCAGGAATTACTCTCTTCTTCCTTGTACCACGAATTTTACCACGCTCTGTAGGGTAGATGTCGCAATTACTGTCACCT